CCCCCCCCCCTCCCTTAGCCTCTGAAGTAAACCATTCCCCTCAGAAAGGCGATGACGTCAGAGCAGTTTGACTTTTTCCTGATGTACATTTACGGTTTCCCCACTTTGTTTTGCACAAAACTCAGAGCTTACCTTTAGAGCTTCATACTCATTCAAGGGCCTCGTGCGTTTTAGCTTTACTTTTAGTCTAGAACCCATAGACTACCATGAGCAAAATTGTTCATAATTTTCATGTATGTCCATAGACTAACAGTTTGATGGGGCGTCCTGTATCAGAACAAGTATCTGCCAGCGAACGTGATGTGTTCCGTCTGCGACTACTAACGGGCGAAGAATTCGACCAGATTCGGATAAATGTTCTCGAGAATATAATAATAAATAAATAAGTAATTAAAACAAAATATGAAAACCAAAATCGATCAATGTAAATACTTAATATTAAATCTGCATCAGAATGGGGTCCCTCCGATAAGAATCAATGCCGTTAGGACTGGTGATGAAGCTTGTGCTTGGAGGAAGTTTTCTTGTTGGGTTTCACAAAGGGCCAATCTGGCAACCCACGCCATCACAGAGATTTTCTGATATGTTGGTTCTTCTACATGTAGTTCTCCCATGCCATTGTCAGTGATGAGAATGTCCTTTCCTTAATTGGTCCTACCCCTGTATTTCAGAGTTCTGACCACACCCACCGAGTTTGTGAATAAGGGGGCTGAGGTGAGGTACGTGGGAATAACCGAACCAGTGTAGGTAGATTTAGGCCCCTACAATATACACCTCTGGTGAAAGAACTGTGAATATTTATATTGATGACAACTGCACGATCCATGCAGGAGTGCCATACCTCCGTGAATTTGATATGGCCACTGAAGGCCTTCAGATGCCTGAAAAACAGCACCCGTTTCATATCGGCCAATGACAATGAAAGTGTCATCAATGTATCTACAGCACAGTCTTGGTTTATCCGTGGAAGTACGTGTATAGCAGTTATATTTTCATCATGTTCCATAGTTTGTTCCACTGTACGATGCTTCATGTACCAACAATGACCAGTAAGGCCTACGTGTAAAACAGTCCATCCACAGAAAAGAATTATAAGTGCAAATTTGGAAACCCATCGAGTATCAATGTTCTTGTGTCAAGATGTTGCTTTGAATGATAAAATATACAGTGCTAAAACAAATATCACAATATTTGGTTAATCGATAGCCAATTTTGTCTTTCATGCAATGCATTGTCCTAATAACCAGTTCTTTAAAGAACTTTCAAAACGCAGTCGACAGCGATGCCATAAATAAGAGGTTTTGACTTCGGACTCTTTCCAGCCCATCAAACTAGACTGATATGGTGAACAAAGTTTTGTGTTTTAAATATGTTGTGGAGATAGGTCTATACATGACCGATGCATGTAGGCCTACCCACTTCTTGAAACTGCAACGGCCCTGAATTTCAATGCTTTTACCAACTACCCATAGGGTCGTTAATACACATTATCCCTATTGGTATTGATCGCAAAGTTAGATCTTTGCTACATTACATCCAACACTAGATATAGGCCTATATTTTATTTTCTTCTGCCTAGAAAGACCTATCAAACATTTTCGTGGGCGTCATCTTCTTTGTTTTCTTATCACAAAGTAGACTAGAAAATTCCCGATCTTCAGGTTAGACCGATACTAACACACTTGTGCTATTTCGTGAAATCTGACCCATGCGATTTTTTTCATTCTTTTTGTCTAGGTCTACTGCGAGATGGGTATGCACAATGGAGGGTACACATTTCTTCCTAGAATAGCTATCCGGCGAGACAACGAGAGTCTCGTAGATATCAACGAGATCTTCACGGAAAGAGATCACGTAATGTTACGGATTTTGACGAAGAGCATCCCCCAGGCGTACACGGTGGTGTCTCAAATCAAATTGTACGAAAAGGTGAGTAAAGAAAAGGTATTTTTTTGTCTTTGATATATTTGTGATGAGGTACGCCTGTTGGTTGCTCTGGATAAAATAACGCACTTGATATAAACCTTGATGCATTTGTTTCAATACTGTAATAAATTGATAAATACTGTAGATTAATCCAACGAAATTAAAGCTACATTAAACAATTTGAAAAGATGTTCCAGGCCTATCTGTTAATTTTATGTACATACTTAAATTACCAAATATTAAACAATAACAAAATAAATAAATAAATAAATAAATAAATAAATAAATAAGCTGGTTAAGGCTAGAAATAAACAAATGCGTATCACTTTCTCATCCATTTATTTCTTAACAAAAAAATAGGTTAACCTCACTGTCAGCATATCGGCGGACTTGCAAGAATTCCCGCCACCGAAGAACACCGAATCCATGGGCCCCTACATCTACCTTGGTTTCTTACCTAAGAGTCTGGCCGCTAACCCAAATAACAATATCCAAGGCTTCATCTCAAACAACCAAGAAATTATGTACCAAAATTGCGATGGCTCCCCTCAGAGCTACATGGCGTTTTTCCCAAACGAGAACGAGGGCCAGCCTTCGAGTTACCAAGCCGGCTGGGAGCCTCCGATGATGGGAGGATTTTTCCACTCGCTGAGACACCTGACATCGCCGCGATTACTTCCTTTGGATTTTTTCTTCTTCGCCGAGATTCACTTTGGAGGGTGTGGTGCTTTTTCGCAGAGTGATCGTTGGCGTAACGCTCTCGGGATGGCGGTGGGATTGCGGTAGAAAAACTCCACATGTGGACAGTCCTTAAAGGTGTGACCACAAAATCCGACATGACATTCTTCTGAATTAAAGACTAAACTTTCAAAAAACTGAAAACCCCTGAAACTGCTACAGATGTAAGTGAACATTAAGAAGTCTCAACCGAAAGCGATTGTGTTGGTGACTCACCTGTTGCAATTAGCACTTTACAACGATAACATTCATTGTATTGGGACACAATTAAGTTTTTGACGTTTTTAAAGATTCCTTCCTGTTGTCAAAGGGTGTGCATTATGACTTTATTGTAATACATAATAAAGATTAAGATTGCGTCTTTGATTTTTTACTTCAATTAAAGGTTTCAACCATACATTTCCGAAACAGATTTCTCTGTCTCCTAAGGTAGATTTAAAAATAAAAAGCAAGGTTAGACTTTTGAAAATTCAGGGCAAAAGTTACAGAAAGCTAATAGTTTTTTAATATCTTATGTCGATTATTTTCAACGTGTTGGAATTGACCCTTAACCGTTTTCTGCATAATTCCCTCAAATTGTAACGACAGCCTCGGTAACTTTTATAAATACTTTCTTAATTACTCGATGACCTCTTGGCAACTCTCTTCAAGATGACCAAACAATCCTCGAGATGAAATTTGACTTTATTTTCATGCCGCAACTTCGTATAATTTTGACACAAGGAGATCCCCAGAAAAAAATGACATGAGAGAAAAATTAAATCAAAAGAGAACTATAAAAATGCATAATTTTAGTGTACATCAGTCGGGTTACTTTTGGAGGAACGCATAACAGAAATTACCGAATCGGTGACAAGGCCACCTCTAAATTGGTGATATCAATAATAAAAATAATTAAAAAAGAAAAAAATCGTGCCCTGGTTCATTTTAAACTACAGAGGACAAACAATGTTACCCATGTTTAAATAATCGCATCACTGTATGATTAAGTAACACAGCATTTGGCTACGAGTTCATGTCGGGCACCGTGTACCAAGAAGAAAACGGAGAAACAAAAATAATAATAAAATGAAGATAACAAGTCGTATCAATCGATATTTTTCAGCAATAAGAAATATTAACAAGTACAGTCACCTTTAAAAGCTCCACCCTAAATAGGTTCATTCTCACAGCATAGATGAAAAAAAAGTTATAATTCTTCAGTTGCACTCCGAAATCTTTTCGTCGTCCAAGCTCCGTTCACCCAGCTTCCAAATACAACCATTTTTTTTCTCAGCTTGGCGCTACAGTCGTCTCGTGTAACACGAACGTCCTTGCTCTTTCCTTGAGCTCATCGTGTGCTGGTATTGTTGGTTTTATTAATTTTCTTGACATATCCTAATTATTCCGATAATGCATTTGTTATTTCAATGGACTGTATACAAAATTTGCATCTTGATATCACTTGAGGGACTTTGGTAGATTCACGGAGAAGTCCCCCGCAACTCCTCTTCCCCCGACTACGTGACCCACAACAGCATGACAATTTTCACGATTACCCCCAATTTACCTATTGGGTCACACTTACTGTTACAAGCACATTACCCCCTTGTACATAATTTTTGTAACAGCATGGCCTTAAACTGTCTACCTTAGATTCATGGGATGGAAAAAGAAATCTGTGAAAGAAAGTGATCACCCATATGGGGGGTGGAATTTATATGATGACAAAATTACTTTTGATGGGGTAGGGAGGGAGGGGGGTTAAGAGAAATTACTTTTAATCACTTAAACGTGACATTACTCCTCATGGTGAATCTGCCAAAGACCCAGTTGATGTTCATCGATGGTTGTTTTTATCTCTTTCTCTCCTCCTTCATGCACTGCCTGTTCTTAGTTTCACATCCTTTACTGTCCCAGCCCTGCTTTTTATTCCACCTCTTTACACCTTCTTGCTACTGTCAACCTTTATAGCAACTGGCATGTCGGTGCCCATGCTTGAAAGAATAGTTATCTGTAAAAAAAGAAAAAGAAAAAATAAAGAAATAATAAACAAAATTACTCATTAAATCACCAAACAGTAAAACTGATAAATAGTATTCAACCAATTAGGTACTCCATACAGGAAGTACCTGTCAAATCAAATATTTTCCTTGAAAAGGGGAGGGGGGGGGGGGGGAGTAGTTTACTTGTACAAAAAATTGAACTTGTGGACAATTTCAAGTTAACATATTACAGTAATTCTGTATATTTCCTCTGCACCTTGTATGGTAAAACATTATCCAACTACTATACAGATTAACCTGTATGTTTTATATCACATTACCTAACAGTCATTTTTACCTAGTCGGGTATATGGAAGACGCCTTTGTCTATCGATATAGATCAAACGTCTTGTGTTGACTTTGTGTTTACCTAGCAAATGGTACCTACCATAAATGTCTCTTCATCCGCATTCTTCCATTTCTCTGATATCTCTGTGGCCAGGTTGGCGTCGTTTTCTGGCAGTTTAAGATCATCTCTAGTGTTACCATCGTCCTCCATAAGACTGAGGAAACCGTCATCAGTTACATCCACCAGCTGAAGTAGAAGAATAAAATAAATAAATAACAAGGCAGCAAAGCTGTCAAATGTGCAGACAAAATTCAGAAAATAATGGTGCACAAAACAGGTCATTTGGACAACTTTGATGCAATAATTCATTATAAACAATCAATCTTAAAGAAGTCAAGCACAATGATGACTGTACTATCTTTCCATTGTAAATATGAATAAAGACAGCATAATCATAAAGCACATGCATTCTTAAAATAGCCACGTCTTCTCACCAGAGTGCAACACATATAGTGCTATAAAAATAATATTTGCACACAGGATGCAACAAGGCTTGACATTAAGGGTGGCCCACTGGCCCTGGGCCACTGAAAACCAACCTTGGGCTATTGAATCACTGGGGTCACTGGCCCAAAGAGCAAGTAAAAGGTCATGTGTCAAATCATCCTTGCAATATTTACTGATATCTCGGGACTGTATCGAAAAAAGTTAGTGTCAAGCCCAGTACAAAATTCCAGTAAAAATGTAATAAAATTTCATAAATGCCATTTTACCAACAACACGGTGGTTATCGCAATTATTCTGAAATTTGTGCTCGCCATGTGACAACATGGACCTTAACAGATACCTACCCTTCATAATAACCTCTAATTGAAAGAGATCATTATTTAAAATAAGGCAACTGACTATGAATGTTGGAATAGATTCATTAACAATTTGTAAGTATGGAATTATTGTCGTTTACCCCAGTAAAATCCGTTTTATGGCACTTTTCTTACCAAAATGAAGAGTTGCTATCCCATTGATCTATAATAGGGATAGCAACTCTTCATTTTGGTAGTAGTAGTTGTAAACAACAATGCGTTAATCTCAGTCCGTGTGCACCTTGTTCTGCTACTACCAGTGACCAGAATTGGACCAACTGCCAAAGAGACACTTTAAATCAAATCAAGCTGAAGCAAAAGTTTAACACGCATAACTAATATTTTGTGTCAATTAGGTGGCCAATTCTGAAAAAATAAATGTTTATTATATTTGTGATTTTTTTATCCACCTGACAAAAATACCCCCCCCCCCATTCCCCCCTGTACTTACCTGGTAGTCCTTACGTGACACATTAGGAACCTCCATGTTATGGGTGGAAGGGCATATATCTTCATATTTTTTGCCAGTAAAAATGTCCAGGCCAACTAAATGAACCTTGAAAAGAAACAAGAAGTAAAATAAACTAGAGGATCAGAGAGGCGATACCGCCTCCGGATATTGTACCACCAGCTGGAGTAAGCGCATTCGAATGGAA